CCAGGTCATTCTGAAACCAACCTCCACCCATCCATCCATCCATCCATCCATCCATTCATCCATCCATTCATCCATCCATCTGTTTGTCCATCCATCTGTTTGTCCATCCACCCATCCATCCATCCATCCATCCATCCACCCACCCACCCATCCATCCATCCACTCATCCATCCATCCACCTATCTGTCCATCCACCCATCTAGCCAGCCATTCTGACTCAGTCTCAGACACCAAACACACTCACAAGGCACCCAAGATGCAAAGGGCAGCACCCCCACCCCAACCCCAAAATAAAAATGAATCCAGTTTGGTTCAGTGGATAGAGCGTCGGCCTGCGGACTGAAGGTTCCCAGGTTCAATTCCGGTCAAGGGTATGTACCTTGGTTGAGGGCACATCCCTGGTGGGGGGTGTGCAGGAGGTAGCTGGTGAATGTTTCTCTCTCATCGATGTTTCTGACTCTCTATCCCTCTCCCTTTCTCTCTGAAAGAAATCAGTAAAAAAAAAAAAAAAAAAAAAAAAAAAAAAAAAAAAAAAAAAAAAATTATATATATATATGCCGTGTTTCCCCGAAAATAAGACATCCTCCGAAAATAAGACCTACTTACAGGTTTTCTTCTGAGTGAAATATAAGGCACCTCCCCTAAAATAAGGCCCCCCTCCCCCTAGGCTAAACATCAGAGATTTGGTCCACTGATTCTGAAAGAAATGGAGTCACAAGAAATTCACCAGGAAATTCAGGAATTGGATTGTTATGATGATGTTCCAGAAGATGATCACATGATTGTCATTGAATAAATGAGTAAATTCTTGATACTGTAGGATTCCCAGTTTGTCTGGTTTGGGTTGATAACGACCGTACTACCGTACTGTATACAGGTAATAAATTTCCTTTATTTTCATTTAACAATAAATGTGTACCGTATTCTTCTTCATGGAAAAATAAGACATCCTCTGAAAATAAGACCTAGCACATCTTTGGGAGCAAAAATTAATATAAGACACTGTCTTATTTTCTGGGAAACAGGGTAGGTGGGGGAGATAAGAGATCAACCAAAGGACTTGTATACATGCATATAAGCATAACCAATGGACGAAAAACTCTGGGGAGGGAGGCCATGTACGGGGGGGCAATGGTAAGATATGTACACATATAATACCTTAATTTTTAAAAAATGAAAAAAATTTATGCTAGGGAGAGAAAGAGAGAGGAACCGAACCTGGGGCCTCCCTCCCTGACCCCTCCACACCCAGGTCCTCGCTGGAACCACTGAGCCACAGCCGCCAGGGCCGGGCCCACGTGGCTGGGGTCCTTCAAACGCTGCAGACATGTGCGGAGGAGCTCAGAGGCCCACACGCCCCTGAGGCCGCGGGGTGTTTCTCTCCCGGAAACCCCATCTAAACAGATTATGAGAAAGGGATCAGTGCCTGGTCTCTAACCAATCTCAGGGCGGGGCATAAACAGGAAGTGATGCCAGGAGCGCGTATATAAACAGGCATGTTTCATCTCTGGGCACGGAGCTGGCCAGAGCAGGCTGCAGGAGGTGGTGAGTGGGGCGAGGGCATCAGAGGCCGGGCGTTTGGAAGTCAATGAGGACGGATGGACTGACGGAAGGATGAGTGGCTGGCTGGCTGGCTGGCTGGATAAATGGATAGATGGATAGAGGGATAGACAGATAGACGGATGGATGGATGGATGGATGGATGGATGGATGGATGGATGGATGGTCCTATAGATGGATGGTCCTATGGATGGATGAATGGATGGATGGGCCTATGGATGGATGGATGGATGGATGGATGGATGGATGGATGGGCCTATGGATGGATGGGCCTATGGATGGATGGGCCTATGGATGGATGGATGGATGGATGGGTAAATGGATGGACAATGGAGGTTGGCCTCAGAATGGCCCAGGTGTGTGTGCTGCGCATCATTTCTGAGATCCTGTGAAAACCAGGTATTTCCCCAGCACCCCCTTTCACACATGAGGCGTGTTTTCTATTCAAAACCAGGGCTGTGCAGCCTCGGCCACTGTTGGCTTTTTGACCGGATTCATCTTTATTTGGGGGAGAATGGAGGTGCTGTCCTGCGCACCTTAGGGTGTCTTGCAGTGCCTCCCCTCCCCCCAAGCCTGGTTGTGACAACCATCAGTGGGTTCTCTGGGTTTGGGAGTGAGTTTGGCCGTGCAGTTTGTTCTTTAGATTCCACGGGGAAGGGGAATCGTGTGGTAACTTGTCCTTCTCTGACTGGCGTGTTTCACCCAGAATAAGACCTCCTGGGCTCATCCCAGCTTTGGCCAATGGGAGGGTCTCATCACTTTTTATGGCCGAGTAACGTTCCCCTGTGTACAGGCACCACCTCTGCTTGGTCCCATCGTCTCATTCATGGGTGTGTCAGATGCTTCCATATGGTGGCGCTGGTTTTGTGTGTCTCAGTGACTTCATGGCTGTCTTTGTGGTTAGTGGTGATTTTTTGTTTGTTTTCCCCTGGATTTCTTAAAGGAGCCCAAACGTTCTAGAAGTGACCAGGCAAATCCCTGCCTCCTCCCTGATTTTCAGTGACAGGAAACCTCTGAATCCCCAGGGTTTCCTGGCTTCATGCTTTCACACATGTGTTCTCTCCTTTCACACAGGAAACACTAGGGAATCTCCTACACACACATTCACCCCTAGCCTATGGTCTCATCCTCCTGACTCATACTGGGGATGGAGCCTGAAACCTGGGCATGTGCCCTAACCTGGAATTGACTGTGACCTCCTGGTTCAGAGGTTGACTCTGCACCAACTGAGCCATGTCAGCTGCACCAAAAAATCCTCTCTCTCTCTCTCTCTCTCTCTCTCTCTCTCTCTCTCTCTCTATATATATATATATATATATATATATATATATATATATATATATATATATATGTGTGTGTGTGTGTGTGTATAGTTGATTTTTTACAGAGAGGAAGGGAGACAGATAGAGAGCTAGAAACACCAATGAGAGAGAAACACCAACCCAGCTGCCTCCTGCACACCCCCAACTGGGGATGTGCCCGCAACCAATGTACATGCTCTTGACTGGAATCAAACCTGGGACCCTTCAGTCCGCAGACCAGCGCTCTATTCACTGAGCCAAACTGGCTTTGGCCAAACTAGTTTTTAAAAAATATTTAATATTTTAGGCTAACAGCTGTGGGAGTAGGGAGGGGAGGACTGTCTGAAAGAAGGTAAAGGGATTAGAGAAATAATCATATTTGTCTAACGGTGAGGGGATGAGGGGATCAGAGGGTGGGAACTGGATGAATGTGGGCAAAGGGCACGGGTAAGGGGAAGGGAGGCACAGGTAATAGGATCAACAATAAAAACAAAGTTAAAAAAACTTTTTTTTTTTAGTTGAGATAAAATACCAGTCACATGAAATGTAACATCTTAACTATTATTGCAAATAGATTTCTACTGATTTCAGAGAGAAAGGAAGCAGGAGAGAGAGAGAGAAGCTTCCATGAAGAGGGCAGAATTGGATTGGCTGCCTTCTGCATGCCCCACACTGGGGATTGAACCTGGAACCCAGGCATGTGCCCTTGACCAGGAATTCAACCGTGACCTCCTGGTTCATAGGTCGATGCTCAACCACCGAGCCACGCTGGATGGGATTTTATAATTTTTATTTCTTCTTTTAAAATTGATGCTAGGGCCGAAACTGGTTTGGCTCAGTGGTAGAGAGTCGGTCTGCGGACTGAAGGGTCCCGGGTTCGAATCCGGTGAGGGCCATGTACGTTGGTTGCCGGCACATCCCCAGTAGGGGGTGTGCAAGAGGCAGCTGGTCTCATCGACGTTTCTAGCTCTCTGTCTCTCTCACTTCCTCTCTGTAAACATCAATAAAATATATATTAAAATTGATGCTAGGGCGAGAAAAAGGCAGAGGGGAACCAAACCTGGGACCCTCCGCGTCCCCTCCGCACCGAGGCCCAGGCTGGTACCACTGAGCCACACCCTCCAGGGCGGGGCCTACTCATCTGAGGATTTCAAATCCTGTAGACACCACATCTAAGCAGATTTCGAAAAATGGATCAATGCCTAACCAATCACAGGGCGGGGCGGTGACAGGAAGGTCTGCCAGTTGCGTGTATATAAACTGGCGGATTTCAGCTCCTAGCACACAGCTCGCCAGTGCAGGCTGCGGGAGGTGCGATTCGGGTGCTGCAGGTTAGTCCTGCGGAGGAGGTGAGTGGGGCCAGGGCATCCAATACAGGGCCAGACTGGGCATTTGGAAGAGATTGAGGATCGAGGGACCGATGGTCGGAGAGATAGCTGACTGGCTGGCTGGATAGATGGAAGGATGGCAGGATGGATGGATGGATGGATGGATGGATGGATGGAATAATGGATGGATGGATGGATGGATGGATGGATGGATGGATGGAGGTTGGTTTCAGAATGACCCGGTTCTGTGTTTGGAAGTGAGTGAGGACCAATGGATGCATCTTTGGACAGAGAAGGCTGGCTAAATGGGTGGGTGAATGAATGGAAGAGTGCATGGATGGATGGGTGGGTTGATGGGATGGAAGGGTGAATGAATGGATGGATGGATGGATGGTCTCAGAATGACCCAGGTGTGTTCGCTGTGATGTTATTATTGAAGTTGATTTTGGAGCCCAGCGGCTGTGGCTCAGGTGTTGAATGTCAACCCATGAGCCCACAGGTCACTGGATTGTTTCCTGGTCAGGCACATGCCCAGCTCTCAGGCTCCATTCCTATTTGGTGGTGGGAAGGGGGTACAGTTGTCAACTGATTGATGTTTCTCCCTCTCTCTCACCTCTTCATTTCTCTCTCTCAAATCAATAAAATGGAATATTTCTTAAAAAGAGGAATACTATGGGTTCACCTCCGTGGCATTAAATATGGGACCCATATGAGGGGTGTTTCATATTGGGCGGGTCAACACCCCAACTCATCAAATTCTCTCCTCTCTTCCCCCAGGACTGTGTGTCTGTTCCCTTGTCTGTCCCTTTCGCTCTCCCTCAGGAGCTGACTGCAGTCCCATTGGAGATGTTTCCAGTGACGATGGCTACATTCCAGGTGTTCTCAAGTGGTCCTGGGAGCGCACAGGGAAGCCTGGGCTGGGCGCTGCCACCGACAGGATGGCCCCAGGGATGCCTCACGGAGAGACAGTACGAGGACTCCGAGTGGTGGCACAGGCGCTTCAGAGAATTCCAGCCCTCGGAGGGCTCAGACCCCCTCCAGAGCTTGCACACAATTAAGGAGTCTCTCAACCTGTGGATGAGGCCGGACATGCGCTCCACGCAGCAGATCCTGGACCAGCTGGTGCTGGAAAAGTTCATGACCTGCATGCCCCTGGAGCTGCAGGTCCTGGTCAGGGAGAGGAAGGTGCAGAGCTGCGAGGAGCTGGAGGCCTTGCTGAGGAAGAAGGAGAAACCCAGGAAATGGGTGAGTGGGAACTTCAGGATGGGCAGGGCAAGGGAGGCCAGTCAATGTACAGGGTAGTGTTCTTCAGTGTTTTGTTTTTTTTATTGCTTAAACATATTTTTGTTGATTTCAGAATCACTGATTGGCTGCCTCCTGCATGGAGAATCAAGTCCGCAACTGGTGGTATGCCCTGGCCAGGAATCGAACTGTGACCTCCTGGTTCATAGGTAGATACTCAACCACCGAGCTGCTAGATACCCAGGCCACATGAGCATTCCTTAGATGGACATCTTCTGACATGTGATCTCCCATCCCAAAGCACACATTCCTAATGACCTCAGAATAATCCCAGGAGGTAGACTTGTTGGTTCTGCCTCATGGGTGAGAAAACTGAGGCACGGACCAGGTGGAGGGATGGCGCCCGTGCTCTCCAGGGAGCCTGTGGCAATGTTGGGAGACATGTTTGGTTGCCACAATGTGGACAGATGATTGAAAGAATCCCTTTTTTAGAGAGAGAATGGGGAAGGGAGACAGAGGGAAAGTGTGAGTGTGAGGAGGACACAGGCAAGGAGGAGGGTGCCTCCCGGGTCTCATCCTCTTTCATTTCCTCCCCACAGAGGGTGCTCACCATCCAAGGGCGGGAATATCTTCTGGAGAATTCGGAGGAAGACCTGGTGCTGGACTTGTCTATGAAGTCTTCAACCCCCATAAGTGAGGCCAGGGCACATCCTGGGAATGGCCCGGAAGTCCTAGGAGAGCCAGGGAACCATCCAGGACCCAGTGACGTGGCCTGGGGACAGGTGAGTGTGTGATGCCCTGATCTGTGGGGACTGGTGGGAGATGGTTCAAGGGGATGGGGTACCCTTAGCTGCTACAGCATTTGGAATATGGACAGAGGCTAGAAAGGGACCCGGAATGCATCCAGGGAAAGCATTCAAACCACTGGTATTTCTTTCTTTCTTTCTTTTTAAATTTAATATATTTTATTGATATTTTACAGAGAGGAAGGAAGAGAGCTAGAGAACTAGAAACATCAATGAGAGAGAAACATCGACCAGCTGCCTCTTGCACACCTCCTACCGGGGATGTGTGTGCAACCAATGTACATGCCCTTGACCGGAATTGAACCTGGGACCTTTCAGTCCGAAGACTGACGCTCTGCCACTGAGCCAAATCGGTTTCGGCAAACCACGGGTATTTCTGAACCAATGTGGACTGTCAAGAGTGCCTGTCCTCTGTCTTTGGCCCACAGGCCAGTAGAAATCTACTGTTCCTCTGGGCGGTACCAGGGTGAGGAGTGGGGAAAGCTGGGTCCAGAATGGCTTTGCTTCCACACTTGGAGGCAGTCAGCAGTTGAGATGCCCAGGGGAGGTCCGTCTAGAGAATGAAGACTAAACACTGGCCCTCGCCAGTGTTTGCAGTGGTTCCAGCATCAGAGCCAGGACTGTAGGGTTTTGGGTTTGATTCCCAGTCAAGGGTACATACCTGGTCTGCAGGTTTCATTCCCTGTCCAGTTTGAGGGAGTGCAGGAGTCAACCTGTCAAGTGTCTCATCTCTCTCTCTGTCTCTTTCTCTGTCTCTCTGGATTCCGGTCAAGGGCATGTACCTTGGTTGTGGGATAATCCCCAATTGGGGTAAGGGGTGGGGGGAAGGTTGCAGGAGGCAGCAGATCTAAGTCTCTCTCATTGATGTTCCAATTCTCAATTTCTCTCTCTTCTCTCTGTAAAATATCAATTAAATATATTTTAAAAATATATATTTCCTCTAATTCCCTTTTAATGTGCATGAACTTTGTGCACTGGGACACAAGTTGATCAATGTTGCTGTCTCACATCAGCGTCCCTCTCTCTCTCTCTCTCTCTCTCTCTCTCTATCTCCCTCTTTCCCTCTTCCCCTCTCCCTCACTCCCTCCCTACTTCTCTCTGGGCACCTATCTTCCTTGCTCTCTAAAAACCAATGGGAAAGATATCCTGGGGTGAGGGTGAACAACAACAACAAAAAGAGTAAGGAGTAGGTAGGATGCATGGGCTTGACATACAGGTGTGATGAGTGAACATAAGGACAAAGAGGGGGATATCCCTGTGAGATTGTACTGTGAGTGTGAGTGTGAGGAGCACACAGGCAAGGAGGCGGCTTTCCTCCGGGGTCTCATCCCATTTCATTTCCTCCCCACAGAGGATGGTCGCCGTCGAAGAGCAGGAGTACTCGGACGAGGAAGTCTGGGACACACCTCTCGTGATTGACTTGTCCGCGAGGTCCCCAACCCCCATCAGTGAGGCGGGGGAACATCCTGACAACAGCCCTGAGGAATATCCCACCCACGTCCCAGAGGTCTTGAATCGGCGTCAGAAGAGAGGAGGTCCTCGGACCCCAAGAGCTGCTCCCAAGAGAAAAAGGGGAAACACTCCCACCGTCCAAGCGGAGCCTCAGGAACCAGCTGTGACATTGGACCGAGGACAAGTCGTAGGACAGCACAGGTCCGATTCAGTTGGTGACCAGTTGACCGTGCAGCCAACCGGCCACCCTGTCCGCAAAGAACCCAGGAGACAGATCCCGTACGAGTGTGAGGACTGCAGCAAGAGGTTCAGCTACAAATCCCAGTTTGACCTTCACCGGAGGACGCACACGGGAGAGCGGCCCTTCCCGTGCCCCTCCTGCGTCAGGAGGTTCATCCAGGCCTCGGACCTGAAGGTGCACCAGCGCATCCACACGGGCCAGAAGCCATTCGGCTGCGCGGTCTGTGGGAAGCGGTTCACCCACGCGTCCACGCTGCGCGGCCACCTGCGGGTCCACACCCGGGAGAGGCCGTTCCAGTGCGGCGACTGCAACAAGCGCTTCAGCCACCGGGGCAACCTCAACGTCCACCTGCGCACCCACTCGGGCGTGAGGCCCTACCGGTGCCCCCGGTGCGACGGCGCCTTCCGCCAGCTGGGCACGTTCCAGCGACACCAGAGGACCTGCCACGGAGCGCTCCAAGGGCGCCGGGACCCCGCTGACCCGGAAGTTCAGCCACGGGTCCTCTTTGAGGCAGAGATGGTCCATGAGCACGTAGACACTTAGGGGGTGCTGTGAATTCGGATCGGAGTCCTCCAATGATGACTCTTGTTCCCTGTTGGCCCCATATGCTGTGTAAGTCTTGCTGGTTGTTTGAATAAATATGTTGAATAAATATGTCTCATGTCTGCTGTTGTCCTTTATTTCCTTGTAAAGTAGGGAATGGAACCTGGGACCTTTCAGTCTACTGGCCAATGCTGTATCCACGGAGCCAACCCGCCAGGGCCACAGCTTGTTTTAGTTGTGTGTGTGTGTGTGTGTGTGTGTGTGTTATGAATTATCCCTTTATGTATCACTCACATTTCACGGAGCATCACGTTGAGAGAAATGTAAATGGATTAAATGCTCCAATCAAGGGTGGAATCTAGTGAACAAAATAAACTGATGAACAAGATGGGTCCAGGGGCCTGGATGCTTGGAACAGACTGACAGGGGCAAGGGGGGTGGAAGGAAGAGGAGGAAAGAGATGAACCAAAGGATTGCTGTACATATGGCACACCCCATGGTCACAGACAGCCGTGTGGGAAGGCCTGGGGTGGGGCAGGGGTTCGAGGAGGGGGAAAAGAGGGGGACATCGGTAACACTGTCCACAATCCTACATAAGAAAAGCCTAATATGCTAAGTGCCCAGTCATCTGGTCGGCCGTTCAGCCAATCAAAGCTTAATATGCTGATGATATGCTAAGGCCACTCAACTTGTCCCTATGATGTGCACTGACCACCAGGGGGCATTCTCTCCAACCTGTAGATAAACTTGCTGGCCTGCACCCTCTTACAATCCAGGACCCCTTGGGTGGATGTTGGAGGGCCGGTTTGGGCTGGATCCAGCAAGGCCAGGCAGATGAACCCCTCCTGTTCATGAATTCCTGCACCGGGCCTCTAGTGAATAAATAAAAAGATACAGGGTGATTGAATGGGTCAGAAGACAAGACCCGCGCACATGCTGTCTGCAAGGGACTCCCCTCAGCTTGGAAGACACATAGACAGAAAGGAAAGGGGTGGGAAGGAGATGTCATGCAAATAAGGGTAGAATCAAAAAGCTCGGTTAGCAAAGCTCCTGTTAGATGAAAGACTGTAACCCAAAGGGTGTGAAAGAGGCAAAGCAGGCCGAAACTGGTTTGGTTCAGTGAATAGAGCGGCAGCTTGTGGACTTCAGGGTTCCGAGTTTGATTCCGGTCTAGGGGGCAAGGAGCCTGCTACCTGGACATGTGCCCTGACCTGGAATTGAGCTATGACCTCCTAGTTCTTAGGCTAACGTTCAACCACTGAGCCATTCTGGTTGGACCAAACAAGCTTTTTAAAAAAATATTTATTATATTAGGCTATCAGGTGTGGGAGTAGGGAGGGAAGGACTGTCCGAAAGAAAATAAAAGGATTAGAGAAATAATTCATATGCAGAGCGCAGGAGAACAGCCCTGAGGTGAGGGCCTGAGGGCAGGGAGGATGGGAACTGGGTGGAGATGGGCAAAGGTCAGGGTTGAGGAGGTGAGAACGGCTGTCGTAGCGTCAACAATAAAGTGAGAAGACGTTGTGTATTGAGATAAAATACCAGCCACATAAAATTTACCATCTTAACTGTTAGATTTAACTTAGATTTCTTTTTTTTCTTAATTAGCCATTTGCTTTATTTTATTTTTTTAATATATTTTATTGATTTTTTACTGAGAGGAAAGGAGAGGGATAGGGTTAGAAAGATTGATCAGCTGCCTCCTGCACAACTCCTACTGGGATGTACCCGCAACCAAGGTGCATGCCCTTGACCGGAATGGAACCTGGGACCTTTCAGTCCACAGGCCGACACTCTATCCACGGGGCCAAACCGCTTAGGGCCTTAAATAGATTTCTACTGATTTCAGCGAGGAAGGGAGAGGGAGAGATAGAAGCATCAATGATGAGAGAGAACCATTGATCCGCTGCCTCCCTCTCCACACACTGGGGACTGAACCTGAAACCCAGGCGTGTGCCCTTGACCAATGCTCAACCACGGAGCCACGCTGGCTGGGATTTTATATTTTTTATTTATTCTTTTTGAATTGATGCTAGGGAGAGAAAAAGATAGAGAGGAACCGAACCTGTGGCCCTCCCTGACCCCTCGACTCCCAGGCCCTCGCCGGAACCACTGAGCCACAGCCGCCAGGGCCGGGCCTATATGTCTGGGGTCCTTCAAACGCTGCAGACAGGTTAGGAGGAGCTCAGAGGCCCACATCCCATGAGGCCGCGGGGTGTTTCTCTCCCGGAAACCCCATCTAAACAGATTATGAGAAAGGGATCAGTGCCTGTTCTGTAACCAGTCTCAGGGCGGGACCAGAACAGGAAGTGATGCCAGGAGCATGTATATGAACAGGTCGGTTTCAGCTCTGGGCACAGAGCTCGCCAGTGCAGGCTGCAGGAGGTTCGGGTCTGGGCGCTGCGGATGCGGTGAGTGGGGCGAGAGCATACATGGTGGGGCATTTGGAAATGAGTGAGGGCCGATTGACCGTCGGAAGGGTGGTTGGATGGATGGATGGATGGGTGGGTGGGTGGATTAGTGCATGGATGGGAGGATGGATGGGGGGATGGATGATTAGATGAGTGGATGGATGGGAGGATGGATGGGGGATGGTTGATTGGATGAGTGAATGGAGGGGATGATGGATGAGTGGATGGATGGGAGGATGGATGGGGGGATGGTTGATTGGATGAGTGGATGGATGGGAGGATGGATAGGTAGGTGGATGGATGGAGGTTGGTCTCAGAATGACCCAGGTGTGTGGGCTGTGCATCATTTCTGAGATCCTGTGAAAACCAAGGGTCTCCCCAAACCTCCTTCACACGCACGGTGTGATTTCTATTCAAAACCAGAACATTGCAGTCTAGGCGACTATTGGCATTTTTTACCGGATTCATCTTTATTTCATTTAATTTTAGGGTGGGATGCTGTCCTATGCACCTTAGGGCGCCTTGCCGTGCCTCCCATCCCCCCAGCCCCATCACTCCGTTCTCCGTGTCTGGCAGTGAGTGTGGTCGTTTATTCTGTTCTTTAGATTCCTCGTCGAGATGGATGGCAGCAATGGTGGGGAGAACGTGTCAGACTTAACCCCGGAATCTGGAACCCCTCCCCCCACAGGAATGAATCCCGCCTCCGGAGCTCTGCGTCCTCTTCCCGGACCCAACGGAGCCGCCAGCGCCACCAAGAGTCCGGTGGTGACCCCGGAGATGTGCTGCTACTGCTTCGACGTCCTCTACTGTCACCTCCGTGGCTTCCCTCAGCCACCGCGTCCCGGATTCACCAACGACCCCTTCCCGCTCTTTGTGACATGGGAGGCGGGGCGAGATCAGCAGCTTCGCGGCTGCATGGGCACCTTCTCAGCCCTGAGCCTCCACTCGGGACTCAGGGGGTACGCGCTCATCAGCGCCCTTAGGGACAGCCGGTTCCCCCCGCTGACCCCGCGGGAGCTGCCTACACTCTCCTGCTCTGTCTCCCTCCTCACTGACTTTGAGGAAGCCCGCGATTACCTGGACTGGGAGGTGGGCGTCCACGGGATTCTAATTGAGTTCGTCGATGAGAAGGGTGTCCAAGGCACAGCCACGTATCTGCCGGAGGTTGCCGAGGGGCAAGGCTGGGACCACGTCCAGACAATAGACTCCCTGCTCAGGAAAGGCGGCTTCGAGGGTCCCATTACCAGCGAATTCCGAGAAACCCTCAGACTCACCAGGTACCGCAGCGAGAAGGTGACGGTCCGTTATGCGGAGTATGTCGCGTCTGTCTCGCCCCGCCCCTCTGCAATCATGACTCTTGATTCCCGGCAACATGACCAGAGCCACGCTCCCAAGGCCACCCATGGCTGTGATATCATTGAAGCGCTCGCCTCCTCTTACCGGTCCAGTGACTTCCATTACTGCACCATTCTCTAACCCTAGCTCCCGTTGCCACGTCTGCCAACAGGCTAGCCAGTTGGCTCCACGGTGTTTGATGCGCTGACTAAATTGGACACAGGTTTTGACCCATTTTCAGAAGAGAAGAGGTTCTTGACATCCAAGAGGTGCCCCCAAGAGAAAAAGGGGGAGCAGTCCAACCCCCCAAGAGGAGCCTCAAGAAGCAGCCATGCCATCGGATCCAGGACAAGCTGTAGGACAGCACGGGTCCGATTCAGTCGGTGCATCAAACGCAGTGGAGCCAGCTCGTCACCCCGTCAGCAAAGAACCCGGGAGACAGATCCCGTAGGAGTGTGAGGACTGCAGCAGGAGGTTCAGGGACAAATCCCAGTTTGACCTTCACCGGAGGACACACACGGGAGAGAGGCCCTTCCGGTGGCACCCCCCGCCCCCCAGAGGTTCATTCAGGCCTCTGGTGTAGAAATGGACACTTAGGGGGGTACTGTGAATTAGGATGGGGGTCCTCTGATGATGACTCATGTTTTCCATTGGGCCCTATGCTATGTCAGTCTTGCTGTTTTTTTTCAATAAATATTGCAGGATGCTACCCTCCTGTCTGCTGTTGTCCGTTATTTCCTTGTAAAATAGGGGGGTCCCAAGAGAGTGGCCAGATTGCCTACGCAGTGTTTCCCAAAGTGTGGTACGCATACCCCCAGGGGTACGGGAAGAGTTTGGTGGGGGTACGCGTTGCACCGTAGTTTGGTGGGGATATGCACTGCACCGTGCTTAGCTGCTCCTAATTCTACGTTCTCATGAGTACGAGAGGTACTCAGCGTTACGAAAATTATAGAAGGGGTACACATATGTCAAAAGTTTGGGAAACACTTGTCTACAGTATACCCAATGCAAAGTGGATGTCAGATACAACCCATTTTTTCCCTAAAAAAAAAAATGTATATATATAATTTTTTATTGATTTCAGAGAAGAAAGACAGAAGAGAGAGATGGACACATCAATGGTGAGAGAGAATCTTTTATCAGCTGCCTCCTGTATTTCCATAGTGAGGCTGGGAGGCCATAATTGGGAAGGTGCCCTTATATGAATTGAACCTGGAACCTTTCAGTCTGCTGACTAAGGCTGTATCCACTGAG